AGAAAGAAGTCTCATCTTTTTCCCTCGGAGTGGCTGATGAGCTCGAACTGCAGACCTTGTTTGCAACCCAGTGCTTATCATATGGAACCACTGCAGGTGGAGGCTGCAATGGGCAAAATGTTGAAAACATCTTAGATATTATCAAACATTTTAAGGCAATGAGTTTCTGGACCTGGGGCACAGGACCATAGTCTCAGAAGACACAATGGTCAATTGGCATAATGTATTCCACAAGACCATGTTCTGCATCCTACTTTGGTGAGTAGCATATGGATCTTCAAAGCTCATGGGCAGCCATCTGAGGTGCAGCTAGTGGTCTCTCCATGTGTGAAAGAAAGAGGAATGATGAGAATTGAAGGGCTTGGAATCAGGTAATCCAATGGATTAATGGAACATGTGAACATCAGTCTTCATGACTCTTGAGTCCAGAAGAACTAGATGGTGCCTGGCTACCACTACCAACTACTCTGAAATGGACCACATTAGAGGGTCCTGGATAGAGTGGGAGAAAATGTGGAACAAAACTCAAAATTACTTAAAAAAAAAAAAAAGACCAGGTTTGCTGGTCAGAAAGAGACTGGAGGAACTTGAGGTCCACCTTTCAGGCCTAGAAAGAAACTCACCTTCATGGCCCAATTTTCAGCCAATCCATTGATGTAGTTATGTGCCGTGGAGTCGGTTCCAACTCATAGCGACACTCTAACAGGGTTTCTGAGGCTGTAAATTTTACTGGGGCAGAAAGCCTCATCTTTCTCCTATGGAACAGCTGGCAATTTCTAACTGCTGACCATGAGATTAGCAGCCCGATTCGTAACCACTACCCTCATGGCCCAATTTTCAGCTAAGCCGTAGGTAGGTATATAGGGGGGACAACAACACTACTAAGGTATGCTCACTATGGAATGGTCAATCATTCAAAACCAAAAGGGCAACATTTACCTAAGGATAAAGTTGAGAAGGAATGGGAAGGTGGATGAAATGGAAATAGGACCCACAGGGAGGAAGCGGGATAGCTGTTGTGACATGAAGGGGATTACAATCATTGAGATGAAACAAAGTGTATGATTTGCTGAATGTAAAACTGATGATCTTGTCTGTAAATTTTCACTTATTTCACAATAAAGTGTTATGTGTGGTTTTTTTTAAAGGGGGGTACAGTCAAAGCTGACTTCCAGTGATCTACTAAGCCAGTTAAATTCAAGGCAGATAGGTCAACTCAAAAGGTCAAGCTTACTGTTTTTTGTGGGAATTTCAAAGGGGTCATCTTGATAGATTCTTTCAAAGAACACAGGATGATCATGGAGGGTTATTTTAAAGATATTTTAAGAAAATTTAAAACTGCATTGCTGAGAATAAGGCCAGGAAAATTGTACAGAGGAATTTTTTTTCCATCACAGCAATGCACCTGCTCATTCTTTGAGAACATCATCAAGAGCTGTCTTAGTAGAATTTCATTGGGAAACTACCCCACCCACCATACAGCCATGATCTTGCCCCTTAAGACTTCTTCGTGTTCTCCAAATTCAAAGAACATTCAAAGGAACATGGTTTGACTTCCTCAAGGATGCCAAAACTACCATTTTGACATAGTGTAAATTGCAGAGCCCAGAATTCTTTGGGGGAAGGGTTAGAGAGAAACGCCACCTTCAGAAGTATATAGATCTTGGAAGATAGGTCAAGAAACAATAGCTTCACATTTTGATATTTGTGTTTAATAAAAGTTTCTATGATTTTGTAGCAACACTTTTGACTTACCCTTTGTATTAGTTACCTATTGCTACTATAACAGAAATTCCACAAGTGGATGGCTTTAACAAACAGAAATTTATTCTCTCACAGATTAGGTGGTTAGAAGTCCCAATTCTGTGTACTGGCTTAGGGGAAGGCTTTAGCTTTCTGTCAACTCTGGTGAAAGGTTCTTGTCTCCTTTTAGTATTTATAGGCTCAGCATTCCTTAGAGCTCTCCATGTATCTTGTCATTAATCTTTCCCTGGATCTAGAAGCTTCACAGTGCAAGGACCCCAGGCCTAAAGGGATCACTCCACTTCAGGCTCTTCTTACTTGGTGGTAATAGGTCCCTCTTTCTCTGCTTACTTCTCTCTCCTTTTATTTTTGTAAGATAAATGGCGTTGCAGCCCATACCCCTGGGAAACTCCCTTATATCAGAGGAGGGATGTGATGAGATGAAAGGCATTGTCCACTCACTGCCATTGAGTCCATTTTGACTCATAGCAACCTTATGTAGGGTCTCCAAGACTATATATATATATATATATATATATATTATGAAAGACTATATAGTCTTTTAAATTTCTATTTATGGGAACAAAGTCTTCTCTTTCTCCTGAGATTCAGACAGCTAACTTTGTGGTTAGCAGCCCAACATGTAACCCACCATGCCACCAAGTCTCCGTTGTGGTGTTGCAGCCTACCCTAAGTCCTCTTATTGGTTTATGACATCAGATTGGTTTGTCATGGGAAATCATCACATAACTGCCAAATTACATCATTACATAACTGCCAAACCAGTGAGAATCATGACCCAACCAAGTTGACACGTATTTCAGGGGGACATAATTCAATCCATGACACCCTTACATATAAAAAGGGTCTTCAAAAAGCTTGTGAAGAAATAGAATTGAAAGATAATGAAATTTCCCCACAAATTTTTTGAAACTCCCTTTATAGACTAGGTTGAGTCTGGAGATTATCAGGTCCAAAGTCTAAGTATATAAAATAAAATGCAATCAATTAGAGATTCCTTATATTTTCAGTAATTTCATATACATGTGAAAGTTGGACAGCGAATAAGGAAGTCTGTAGAAGAATTGATGCATGTTGAAGGAGAATATTGAAAGTGCCACAGGCTGCCAAAAGAACAAACAAATCTGTGTTGGAAGAAGTACAGCCAGAAGAGTGCTCCTTGGAAGCCAGGATGGCCAGACTTCATCTCTCATACTTTGTCAGGAGGGGCCAGTCCCTGGAGAAGGACATCATGTTTGGTAAAGTGGAGGGTCAGAGAAAAAAGAGGAAGACCCCCAAAGAGATGGACTGACACAGTGGAAACAGCAGTGGGCTCAAATGTAACAACGATTGTGAGGTTGGCGCAGGACCAGGCGGTGTCTTTGTACTGTTGTGCACAGCATCGCTATGAGTTGATACTGACTTGATAGCACCTAACAACAATACATTTATACCCAATGTTATTATTAAGTCACAGTAATTTCGAGCATGACATATTCTGCATTTAACCTTTGAAAGATAAAATGTTATTAAATAGCTTCACAGATGGAAATAGACCTCACTGAGAGACAAGACAAATGAACAGAATAGAGCAGGTTTGTCCGGGAAGTTCTCTGTATAAGTCTCCATCTGTTTTATTCCCTTCCTGTATCTCTTCCACTGCATCAGTTAGCAGATGAAGGCATTTTATGGCAGAAAGGAATAATTCTCAACTGTCTTTAAGAACACGTCTTCAGCTCAGTTAGGTATGGCAGGGCGTCTCGTCTGTTGGGTCTCTACACTAGAAGACTTAATAGACAGTTTTCCAGCCCTCGTGCATTCTTGAGGAGTGGTGTTGGTGCTGTAGGATAAGACCTGGACAACTAACCATAAAGTTGGCAGTTCAAACCCTCCTTGGGAGAAAGATGAGGCTTGTTTGTTCCCATTAAGATTTACAGCCTTGGAAACCCTCTGCAGGGTCACTATGAATTGAAATAAACTCCGTGACAAGTAAGTTTGGTTTTAGTGCATTCTTCTTATTTTCAAAGTGCATTTCAAACCACCTTGAAAAGTAGCCCAACTGTGTTAGAAATGTTATGAACATATAGGAAAAGGAAGCATGTGTATAACCTCAATTCAGTCATAATCATGCCTAGTACATACATCAGACTTTTAGTAACTTGAAAAAAATTGAAACATCAAAATAGCATATTCTTATGTAAGATCCACGGGTTAACCAACTAGTTCCAGAAGAAATAGGAAGAGAACTGGAAAAACAAAACTTTTGAATAAATACATGGCTATGTCTGGAGTATGAGGAGGCTTCAAAAAGTTCATGAACAAACTCCATTATCTTTTTTAATTTTTAATTTATTCCTTTCACTTCTGCTAGTCCATATGTTCAAGAACAAGTTTCAGAGACTCTCTGACACTTGTTTGTTGGTATTTTTTTCTGTTTTCCATTTTTCAAAACATTTTATTGTGAACCGAGTGAAGGTTTACAGAGCAGATCATTAGTTTTACTGGCAATAAACCACACTGTGGTGGTGGTTATATGCTGTGGGGTTGGTTCTGACTCATAGCGAACCCTGTACAGGGTTTCCAAGGCTGTAAATCTTTACGGGAACAGAAAGCCTCATCTTTCTCCTAAGGAACAGCTGATAGTTTTGAACTGCTGACCTTGTGGTTCGCAGCCCAATTCGTAACCACTACGCTACCAGAGCTCCTTAACAAACCACATACTTTGTTTCGTTTCAATGATTACAATCCTCTCCAAGTAACAAATTATCCTGCTGTCTCCCTGTGGTTTCTGTTTCCATTCCACCCTTCTTCCTAACCCCTCTGAACCTTGTCCCCAGGTAAATGTTGCCCTTTTGATCTTGAATGATTGACCATTCCATGGTGAGCACACCTCATTACTGTTGTTGTCCTTTCATATAGCTATCCACCACTTGGTTGAAAATTGGGCCACAAGGGTGAGGTCTGTTTCCGACCTGAAGGGTAGCCAAGGGGCATTGTCTTGGGTTCTTCCAGTATTTTACTGACCAATAAGCCCCATCTTTTCATAATTTTGAAAACTCCATTATCTTTTCATTCCATTTTTCTATGGACTTTTGTAAAGTCCCCTTGTAATTTTGTCCATCTTTTCAAGAAAAAAATAGTTTGGGTTTGTTTGCCTTCTCTTACTTTAAAACAAAACAAAAAAATCCTTTGCTGAAAAATCTGCTAACCATTATTGTTCATCCCAATATCCCCTCATTTCTTCCCTATCCCATTAGTATCTTTTTGCCACCTACATTGCTCCTTCGGCCACTCTTGACATTGGACTCCAACCAGAAATCAAAAAAGAAATTTATATGAAAATACAACCACCATTTGAAGACCTTTATGACACAGCTGAAGAATATATCCTTCTCCTCCTTCTTGACCCCTGGACACAGATGGTAAAAACAGACCAAATTGAGTACAAAAAGGTATTATAGCACTAATATATTTTTTGGGAACTATTCAGGTTTACTATAAAATTGATTCTTACCAGCATTATTAGCCCACTAAAAGAAAAACTTTTTACATAGGCCAGAGATTCAGAGGCCAGCTTTGGTCAGGCTTAAAATTGGGGCACGGAAAGTGTTTATTGACTTTACTTTTTTTTGCTGGTTTCCCTACTGAATCCTAGCAAAATATTTAATTCTATGTCATTTTTAGTTTTCTTAGCAAATGTTTAAAGAGAGCAATGTGAGTTTTGGTTTCCTGTAAGACAGCAAAATATGCCCCGATAAAATTCTGGCTGTGCCCTTTCTTGTCATTTTCCAGCAGTGGCCTTAGTTTTAATTAATGGGAAAAGCCCATTACGTCTTATGTTGGGTGAGTTACAGTAAATGTTACACTCATGGAAAATCGAAACGTTCTGTACATCTTGTGACAAGCAGAGCCTCTGACCTCAGTGCTGCTGGTGTAAAGCACCCCCAGATGTTCTCAGGTCAGAGTGCTTAATTGGATGAAAGTTTCAACGCATCTTTTTTCATTCTGGAAAGATCATTTTAAGCCTCAGTGCTTGGATATTTTCATTAGTCTTATCGATCGATGATTTGGAGGAAATTTCTTTAAATATTTATTTTGAATCACATATTAAAACCACCCACGAGTATTTTTTATATTAAGCGAATGCATGTGGATGATGTCATTTCCGGTGGAACGCTGTTGTCTTTGGATTGCGGTTGTTTGTTCCTGTCGACTCAGAGTCTCATTAGATAGTTATGTGTTCCACCAGAAAGAATAGATTCGATAAGTAAGACCAAATTAATACCAAAACACCTTGCACAGAGTTCACCTTATTGAATTGTGGCTGAAACATCTTTTGTGGCTTACCAAATTCAAAGATCAAAATAACTAAATTTTTATTCTTTAATTATCTTTGTTGTAAAAAGTTACTATCACATTCTTTCTACTAAACTGCATATATTGTTGTTGTTGTTGTTGTTAAGTGCCGTCGAGTCGGTTCCGACCCATAGCGACCCTGTACAGGGTTTCCGAGGGTGTAAATCTTTACGGGAGTAGAAAGCCTCATCTTTCTCCCGCGGAGCGGCTGGTAGTTTCGAACCGCTGACCTTAAGGTTCGCAGCCCGATTCGTAACCACTACGCTACCAGAGCTCCATTAAACTGCATATATTATACTAAAAAAATTGGAATATCATGTGAAGTTTACAATTTTTTCCAGTTATTATTTTAAATATGGTTTATTGTCGTAAGATGGTTAAAAATAAAGAAGAAATAATTGGATTATGACTAACTTCTCTAAACCAAAAATATTCTTATAAAATGCATGGGCAATTTTCCTTTTTAATGATAAAAGGAAAAACAAGCCTCTTTCTTAGTTCCATAAACTTCCTTAAATTCAGCTCAGGAAACTTCTTTAAAAGACAAGATTATATTGACTGTTTCCCATATGAGATAGCCAAGCTGACTACTAGCTGTTAAATACAGAAAGTTCTCAGCTGGTCAGCCAAACTGGTTTTTCCTTGCACTGGAGAAATGGTCTGTCTCTACTGCAAAGCGCTTGTTTTCCTCACTATATAAAATACTCTGAAGGCTGAGACCTATCAAATTAAACTGTTGCGGATGAGTGACTCTTCTTTGCTTACAGCAATGGAGTCTTTGCTGACAGACTGATAATCAGGAGGTCTGGACATTTCTTGTTCTTCTATACATTAAGATCCCCAAAGCTAGCAGAGCTTGTCTTTTTGACTATTTTTGTTATCATGAATAGCAATTGGAAGTGACCAATCTATTTGTATTGTATCTGTTAGTCTATATGGGGCATTCAGAAAAGAGAATGATCTTTGTTGGAACTATATATATCATTACATAGAAATTTATATATTCCTTTTTTTGCATGCATTCAAAATCTGACTAGTATCTTAAACTATGTTGGTATTCCTGATTTTGCCTCCAAAATAATTTGTTTTATTGGCAAGTGGATTTGTTCTTTAGCCCACTGCTATTGGCAAGTTGTGCATTCTGTTCCTCATTTTTTCATAATGGACATTCTATTGATGTGTTACAAGCATCGTTGTTATTTTATTAGGTGGAGCTGGTGGAAGAAACTCGGCAGCTGGACTCCACATACTTCAGAAAGCTTCAGGCTTTGCATAAAGAGACATTTTCCAAGAAAGCTGGGGTAAGACAACTCCCTACTTAGAAAAACTTTTCATTCTGGAGACAGTTACTGTGAGGGAGGAGATCATGTATTGATAAAGTAGTGGGTTCAGACTTCTGAGTTTTCTGTTGTGCCTTTGCCTGGCCTGTTGCATTCCACAGGTGTCATGTTTTATTGACACACTGAGCAGAGCTAGAAAAGAAAGCCAAGGAGGTCGCTAAGGGAAGACAAGCCACTCATTTGCCATAAGAACAGAACTCCGAGCCTCCAAGGCCTTACATACCCTTTTCAGTGTTATGGGTTGGTTTCTGATTGTAAGGTCACAAGAATTAAATGAAGTTTTCCAAACAGAAAAGGAACTGTTTGTGTGATAACAACAGCCAAGAACAGTAAATAAAGAAAAAAAAAGAATGGAAAGGAATTGAGGAAGGCAGTAAAGACATCTTAGGACTGCCTAGGATATTAAAAGTGTTAGTTTGAGTTTAAAATTTGCAATTTTTGGAGGGTGAATGAAGCCTTGGTAGATCCATAAAATGAATTGTGTGTGCATCTGTATTAAAAAATGACATTTTAGATTCATATTTATGACATGGAAAATGTCCATGACTTTATTATGTGAAATTGTAGAAAACAGAAACCTGATATGCTATGATCCTATTTATGTAAAATTATTTATATATTTCTATGTATATGTGCACATAGATTCAAAAAGAGATATCTAGAAAGATGATTACCAAGATAGTGACAAGGTTTCAGATTGTATTTTTACTTTCTTTTTTATACTTTAAACATTTTAAATTCTGTTACATTAGATTTCACAAAAATAGTAAAGTTATTTTTTATAATGTACCTTTTTATAATTGTTGCCTTAACACAGAAGTTCTGTGTTTGAAACACGATTGATTAATATCTTTAGAAAAGGTAAGTCATAATTCATAGAAGGAGCACATAAATTTTTATAATAAACTTTTTGAACTAAAATTCATAACACATTCTGTAATCCTTCTACCTAAAGAAAACGGATTTTTTGAAAACAGTTTATCTCATGTTCTGAGGTCTTTAAAAATTAGGAAATTAATTATGGCATAAGGAATGATCTAAAGATGGGCCTTTCAAAGAAAAAGCACTCTAGTAAGAATTTAGCACTCTGCCCTTTCAGCTTGTAAACTGTCCATGAAGCAGAAGTCTTAAAAATACCAGAATAAAATAAAATAGCTTTTATGTGAAAGAGATTACTTTTGAAGACTGCAAAATTAAAACAGAATTTTACATTATCCCGTGACCTTTGAAATGATGCATAGGTAGAAGACGATTTTTAGATTTTATACTCATGCTAAATTGCTAAAAGAAGCAGGTTACTGAGCCATACATTCATGCATAGTCCTTTGTTTATTTTTACTGAAGTATATGTATATCTATTTTTAAAAGCTCTGGTGGCCCTGTAGGATACAGGGCTGCTCACTGCAAACCACAAGGTGGGCAGCTCAAACCCACCAGCCACTACATGGGAGAAAGATGAGGCTTTCTGCTCCCATAAAGATTTACAGCCTCAGAAACCCTAAACAGGGTCACTGTGAGTCAGAATCTACTCGATGGCAGTGAGTTTGGTTTGGTAAGTATTTTAAAAAGACGAGAAGGATATATACCAAATTGTTAGTGATGGTTTTCTGTGAGTGGTAGTACTGTGTATGATTTTGATTTCCCTCTTTTTTTTTAAACTAAAAACACTACTTTTGTACTAAAAACTAAGGTAGTATTTTATAAACATTTTGTAAACATTATATATGCTTACTAAATGTTCCTATAAAGAAGGGAGTGGAATGGAAAGGAACAAACCAGAAATTGATGTTAGTTGGATCCTGAATTTTATGAAAAATTTAGACAAACTGTTACATTTAAGAGGATTTTTATGAAAAACATTGTCTCACTTAGGACACCACTTCTGAAATTGGAACTGGTATTTTACCACTCCCTGATATCTCTAAAAAAACACAATATTGGGAAAATGTTCCTGCAGAATATAGACATTTTAATTTTAATGATCTGCTTAGTAACAAGCTGGAATTTGAACATTTCCGTCAGTTTCTGGAGGCTCATTCTTCAAGGTGAGTGATAACCGTTCTAAAAGATATTTTCTCTTTAAAATCTAACTTTTCTAAGCTACTGGTTTTGATTCCACATATTGTAATAGTGATTTGGTACTACATTTGATCAAAGTCAGTAAATATCGATGAGCAGAATTACTTGAAATCTGTATGAATTACTTTTTTTTGTTGTTGGGAAGTGAATTTTGGTTGTAGCAACCTTAAAAAATGTCATGTTAGTGTTTAAACAGTATAACGGGGCTTCAAAAAATTTGAGGGAAAATTCCATTATCTTTTAATTAATTCCATTTTTCCATGAACTTTTTGAAGCTCCCTTGTATGTGTTGATACTTCTAGCATTGTCTACCTTAAAACATTAGTATGCACTATTCTTTCCCTTTTCCCCCTGATGGTACTATTTCTTTCTTTTGCATTTCTTTCTACAGGTACTTTAATTATTATTTTTAGAAGTGCCTCTTCTATATATCAGTAACACAGTTATGTAGTATTGAAATTATTGTCAAATTTTGAAATTTTTATTTATTTATTTTTGTTAAGTGTTTTTGAAATTTTAAAAAATCAATTTAATAAAGAAACATTGCAGTTTTGCACAGAATGTTGGAAGCTTGTGATATGTTTATCTAATATGAACTGAATTACTGCTTATACATTTTTTCCTATTAATTTTCTCTCAAGTTAGCAGAAACTGGTTAGATACCTGAGAGCCAGATTTCACTATGATCATTCTCTATATAAATAAAATTTCCCTTTTTTGGGATAGGATCTATTCTGAATTTAGCATATTGGCAATGACTAGGACTACATATGTTTTCCCATATATGAAATTAACAGCCCTAGTCCATTAATGGAATAACTTGATAATAGATTTTTTTTCTAATCCTAGTGCTCCTTGCCATCATTGATATTTATCCAGGATTAGAAGTATTATCAGATCAAGCTAACTCATCTAGAAAGGGTTCAGAGGTAAAATATTGGACTCATTAATGATCTAATCAGGGTGCTAATTAGACAAGACAACCACTTTATGAGTCTGTCAAAATAACAAGTTGTTTAGTGTTCAATAGAATCGAGAGAAATAAATAAGAAAAGAAAGGCAGTACTTTGTTTTTGTTTTTATTTTAGCCTGGACCTTATGTGTTGGACAGACATTGAACAGTTCCGAAGAATACTTTTTAGAGATCGAAATCAAAGAGAGGCAAAATCTGTATACATAAAAAACAAGTATCTAAATAAAAAATATTTCTTTGGACCCAACAGTCCAGCTTCTTTATATCAGCAGAACCAGGTATCAACATGGAAGCATAATTTCTGTATTGAAATATGAAAATAAGTTCATTGATTTCTTTTTGCCAGTCATCTAAAGATGATCAGTTTCAGACCTACATCCAGCAGTGGGTTTGAGTGTCCATGTAACACTTTGTTCTCATAAAGTATGACTGAATTGTTAATACTTTTGGAATATGAAGCATTAAACATTATTATTGATTTGATTTGAAGTTTGTTAATGCTGCACTACTTAGTGCTTTAAAGATTAAATTGTAGCATGTGATTTTTTTCATGTGGTAGTTTGAGAGGATGCATATCCTAATGGTATACATTTGTAAAATACAAATTTCAGACTAATCCCATATTCATTAAATTGAAGAAAAATTCAGAGATCTTCATGAGTAATACACATTTTTAAAAACTAGATTTTTGATGTGGTAGGAGGGGATAAGTAAAAGTCTTTAGGAATAAGAGGGAGGAGAACATCTAAAATTAAGCAACCTTGGCCAAAATTCCTTGCTCTTAGTTTCCTGAGATACAAATCTGGGATCCATTAACTAAAGTGGTTGAATATCCCAATAAGCACAAGTATGAAATAAACACATGGAAAGCATTTGTTTTCTATTTGGCTTGTGCTACATTGCGTGAGGTTTCATGGTATCTGATGCTACTGTGTGAACCCTCCATAGTACAACATGCTGAGAATTTAAGTTTCAGTAGAAAAGTTTTCTGTAGCTATCATAGAAAATGGTTGTGCTTACTACAGATAAGTTTTCCCAAGAGCCTTTCTTCCTTGTCTTTGTCTTTTTTTTACTTATTTTATACTTAAAGATTCCTTTATCACATTAAGTTTAAGATGTATCATGTGGTCCTAATTTCTATTATATAGCAGTAATTGGTTAGCAAGGCAATCTTTTTCATTTCTTTACAAAATAATATTATTAATATTATTTGACTGATATTATTAATCAAAGGGGAGCTAATAAGTTTATCTTTTATGCAGTAATAATAGTTGTAAAATTATATGATTAGCATTAATCAAAAGAGGGCTAAGAAGAAAGTGTTTGTTTCTGTGAACAATTCAAAATTTTTGAGCAGTATGTACATGGAAGCAGGTAGAAAACAATGATATACAGAAAATATGAGGGGCCTTCAAAAACTAAGTGCAGAAAAATGGAATTTTTCTACAAATGATCTGAAGCCCCCTCATAGACATTAGTAGCTTGCTAGAATCAATAATAATGCAGAAGGAAGATATATGCCACAAAAAAATTGTGTTTTATAAGGGTTATTATGAGTCAGACCACTATGATCTGACAGTTTGTTGTACTTTGGTGGCTTGCATGTTGCTGGATGCTGGAAGCTATGCACCCATGGTAGATAGATTTCAGCTGAGCCTCCAGACTAAGCCTAGGAAGGAGAAGCAGTGTACTACATGTGAATATTTAGCCACTGAAAACCTTATTAATAGAGTAGGGCACAGTCAGCACCAGAATATTGAAACATGATGAAGAGCACAAGGATTTTGTCAGACATACTGCCAGAAGATGAATCCCTCAGGTTGGAAGGCACTCAAAATACGACTGGGGAAGCGCTACCTCATCAAAGTTGACTGTTATGACACGAATGATGTAAATCTTTCAGGATCTTCATTTGCTAGTGGAACAAACTCCAAAACAGGAGAAGCCACTACAAACGTCCATTAATAAGGAGATGTACCAAGTATGAGTCTAGGAAATTGTAAGTTGTGAAAAGTGAAATGGAACACACAAAGATCAATATCCTAGACATTAGTGAGCTGAAATTTACTCATATTAGCCATTTAAAACATGACAATCACATGGATTACTAGGCTGGGAATGAGAATTTGAACAGGAATGGAGTCACATTCATCATCAAAAAGAACATTTCAAGATCTATCTTATAGTATAATGCTGTCTGTAATAGGATACTATCCATATGCCTACAAGGAAGACCATTTAATACAAATATCATTCAATTTATGCACTAACTACTAAAGCCAGTGATGATGAAATGGAAGAATTTTACTGGATTCTTCAGTCTGAAATTGATCAAGCATGTAATCAAAATATATTGATAATTACTGGTGATTGGATTGCAAAGATTGCAAACAAAGAAGAAGGATCAGTAGCTAGAAAACATGGCCTTGGTTATAGAAGTGATGCTGGAGATCACATGATAGAATTTTGCAAGACCAATGACTTCTTCATTGCAAATAACCTTTTTGAAACAACATAAAAGATGATTATACAGGTGGACCTCATCAGATGAAAGGCACAGAAATCAAACTGACTGCATCTGTGTAATGAGATGGTGGGGAACGCTCCCTATCATCAGCTAAAACAAGGCTGGGGCAGACTGTAGAACAGACCATCGATTGTTTATATGCAAGTTCAGGCTGAAGCTGAAGAAAATTCACACAAGTTCCAGAGAGCCAAAAATGACCTTGAACATATTCCACCTGAATTTAGAGATCATCTCAAGAATAGAGATGATGCATTAGATAGTAATCACCAAAAACCAGGATTGTGGGATGACACTAAGAACATCATACAGGAAGAAAGCCAAATAGCATTAAAGAAAGAAAGGAAAGATCATTAAGAAAGAAGGAAAAGACCAAAATGGATGTTAGAAGAGATTCTGAAATTTGCTCTCCAGAGTAGAGATGCTAAAGCAAATGGAAGAAATGAGGAGGTAAAAGAGTTGAACAGAATATTTCAAAGGGCAATTTGAGAAGAGAAAGTCAAATATTATAATGAAATGTGCAAGGACCTGGAGTTAGAAAACCAAAAGTGAGGAACAGCATCTCTCAAGCTGAAAGAGCTGAGGAAAAGATTCAAGCCTCAATTTGCAATACTGAAGGATTCTAAGGGCAAAATATTGACTGATGCAGAAAGCAACAGCCTTGGGTGGGTACCAGGCAGTGACAATGACTGAATCATGTGACCTTCCTCTGCTCAACTGCCTTTTCTCTTAGAAGAGGTTGAACAGTCCTGTATTTCTGTCACTACCATCAACCCTCCAACGCCATTTTAACATGTGTTGGTAATATACATATTTATATTATCTGAGTCAAGGTTGTTGGAACAACTCCATTCCTGTTCAATTTGTCATTAACCAATGCTTCATTTTCCTCACTCACAAAAGAAAATATGTTCTCAAATGGGCCAATTTGACTAGAATTATAAATGTATAGAATATTAGATCTAGATGAGAATTAGGTAGCACAGACTAATGCATTCATTTTACAGTTGATGATACTGAGGCTATGGAGCACAAATGCCACTATTTTTGTTAATTCATTCCTGTGTTCTTTTCAATATATCATCAGTAAGCACAACCACACATTTAAAACAACCACCAGGGAAATCGCAATTCCCTGATGTTCGGGAAATTGACTATCATGATTGTGCATGACATAGCCAGGAGACTGTACAAAATTTAAAAATTCTGGCACCTGCTGGGTGTTCAGCAAATGGTTTTAGAAAGAATGAATGAATGAATGTGTATTAGTATTTCTTTACCAAAGCAGAAGTATGTAGTTTCTGTTTCATTTTTATCTTCTTAGATAATGCAACTAAGTGGTGGCTGGGGAAAGATTCTCCATGAGCAGCTCGATGCACCTGTTCTAGTTGAAATTCAAAAGCACGTCCTAAATAGGCTAGAAAATGTGTGGTTGCCAATGTTCCTCGCAAGTGAACAGTTTGCAGCACGTCAAAAGATAAAGGTATATGAATTAGAATGATCTTTGGATAAATTCAGCCTTTACCAAGACATCAGTTATGCCTGCCTGTCGGGCTAGCTATTGCACTTCTGTGACATAGTGGTTAAGAGCATGGATTCAGACTCTTACCCAGTTCGGATATTAACACTGTTACATATTAATGGTACATTGTAAATTTTTGTCATCTCCATTTCCGTATCTGACAAATGGGACTTATAATAGTAATTGCTTCATAAAGTGATTGTGAAAAGGAAATGAGATGGTGTATGCTTTGTTTCTTAGCACAGTGCCTGGCATACAGTAAATACTCAAATGTTACCTATGAGTATTGCTGTTATTACTGTTATTTTTACTAAATCCTCACACAAATGAGCAAAGATGTACAAGGACATTCGTTGCAATATCATATGGAATAATAGTGGCGTGAATAATGATAATTTCATATGATAAAAAACTAGATTTCCATATAAAGAGATTATAAAATGAGATTAAAATATAAAATTGGATTTACACATGTGCTGATATGAAATATATTTTTTGTTGATTGAAACAATCAAGATGAATAATAATATATAGATAACGATCCCATTTTATGTATCCCTACCGCTAATCTCTTCCGGTCTTGTCAGATCTATGTTTATACATGAACAATTTCTAAAAGGACTTAACTTCTGAGAGAGTGTGGGGAGTACATTTGAGGATTTTACTTTGTAAGTGAATTGTTTTGGGTTTTATTTTTTTGCTCATTTCATTGTTTTTTTAGAAGCATGTATTATTTTGATAATTTTTAAGGCAAATCTGATTTTTACAAAGATTGCAAAAGACAGAAAGCATGCAATTTTGAAGTTTAGTATGCAAAACTACATGCTGATAGTATTGCTTATGAGGCACCTATGAAAAGCTGCCCTCTGGTGTGGCACTGTGGGTTAATGCACGAGACTACAAAGTTGATTTGAACTGCAAGGTTGGCAGTTCAAGCTCACCAGCTGCTCCTCGGAAACCCTATATAGGGTCTCTATGAGTCGGAACCTACTCAACGGCACTTAACAACAACAACATATTTAATTTGGAGTTCTGGTGTGGCACTATAGGGTAAGTACTGGACCGTAAGGTCAGTTTAAACTGCAAGGTTGGCAGTTCAAACCCATCAGTTGCTCCTCAGAAACCCTATACAGGGTTGCTATGAGTCAGAACTGACTCAACTGCACTTAACAACAGCAACAATATTTATCAAACACTTTGAGGCCTATTTATCTGGCAGTATCTTTAGTCTTAGTTTTCTAAGAAACTTCAGTACAGCTGGGAAGGTAGAATTTATAGTATGGTGAAATAGAGTTGACTCTTAAAAGCTTAAAATTTCCTGTAAATAATATTTGGGGAAAACTCAAATTTCCTCATTTCCTTTCATCATTGCTTTATTCAAAGCCAAATAAAAGGACATTTGGCCTTACTGATATTATTTACCACATTTTCTCACTGTTTACCACAGTAATGTTATTGTAACCTGCAATCATTTGTTGACTTGGCATTCTTTGGGTTGCCAGCAACATAAACTGATTCTGGCAACCTTGAGCCCAAGACAGAAGGGAACAGGAGGATTTATTATAAAATGATGCCAGGGCAACTCACAGATTCGGGAAGAGTTGACACCCAAGACTCTGGAAGAGTGGGGGCCATGGCAGACTTGGAAACTCAGCATGAAGACTCTTCAAATCTCTTCCCCAGAGCATGGCCATGTAAAGACTCAGCCCCATCCTAGCTCATGTGTCTATATCAGCTCCTGGATCTGGCTGCTGTGCACTGGGAGGGAGGTAGAGTCACACAGTTGAGACTTGAGAGGAGCTGCTCCTGAGAGAAGAAAAATAGGGTGAACAGACAGCAGATAGTAACTCCAAGAAGGAATATCTATTGTATTTCTCCTGTGTTGAATAACTTTAATACTCTTTCAAAATAAGTTGTGGAATTATATGCCACCCCCACCCCACCCCACCCCAAACAAGGCACAACAGTCTGAAAAAGTCTCCAACCTCAGTTTTCGTGTAGTCCAGAGTGGAGTTATTATCTACATTTGGGGTGATACATTATCACCATTTTGCAGATGAGGAAACTGTGTTTCTAGGGAATTTGAGTGACTTGCCCAGGGACCTGACCACAAGGCTTTTATTTAAGTCTGATTCTTTTTTTTTTTTTTTTTCTGAACTGTGCTGTTTTTTATTCCAGCTGTCCTTTATTTTATTAAATTATTAAATTACTATTAAGTTAGCAAATGATTTCAAAACTCTTGCCATCCTGAGTAACTGGTCTAAAATGATTGGTTTTGCTTTTAGGTACAGATGAAAGACATAGCTGAAGAGCTCTTACTATGCAAACATGAAAGGAGAATTGGGGTCTGGAAGGCAAGTTATATTTGTTACATTCTTTTTCTTGTAAGTTCCTCTCTGTCAAAGTATTAATTTTCCTTTCCCTTCTTGTTCAAAAATCCTTCTTGTCAACACTGCTTTCTAAACCATTGTCTGACTTCCGCTATCGCTACAAACTGTGCTTAATTGGCTGCTAGAAATTGGGGAAAAGTGTGACTTTTCTGGAGTCCTGTTCTTAAAGAGTCCCTTGACCTGCTTAACCTTAGAGGCATGTGATTGCATTGTAATGATGTAGTTTTCATTACTGTGTTTTGATTGGTTTATTGAGACAAGCTGTTCATTCCAGCAGATGGCAGTTTATTACTGAGAGTGGGTTACACAAAAAGAGTGTGAAGTATGCGGCAGAATCAGATAGTTAAATCATCTTATAGTAGTATCTTCTTTATTGAGAATTGCATTTGAGTTTTTAAAAAAATTAGGATAACTAATTTAGTAATAACCAAAACAATAGTTTTGGTAATTACTAAAGCCACTATAAATGATGTTGCTGTTATTAGTGCCATTGTATAAGGTTTCCAAGGAGCACTTGGTGGGTTTGAACTGCCAACCTTGCAGTTAGCAACCAAGCACCACACCAATACTCTATATAATCTGATACTATACTGGGAATTGCCTATTTTGCTTCTTTCTTAACAAATGCTGTAAGCACAGCGTTCTTTTTCAGCTACAAGTTTATGTGTGTTTATTCTTCTGTAGGTCTCAACAGAATATCAAACTAGATCCAGGTGATCCCTGAATGTTAGAAAAATATATGTTTCTTTAGGGTGCTCTTTTTCTGTATTTCTGTATTTTTCTCTTGAAAGGAAAGAAACTTTTTAATGTTAGTCTTCTTTTGTTATGTTTTTTATTGAAACACTAAAAGTAGAATGGGCTTATATTTTCTATTGCCGTGCAATATATATTTTATGATTTTTTGTTTAAATTACAGGCTTTAGTTAAATTACTAACTTTTAGTATTTTAAGAAGCAGGTCTTAAAACATTATTTGCTGAGTGAGTTTTAAATAAACATCCCAGTCTAATACCTAGTTGTTCGTATTTATAGGGCTATAATTTTAATATGGGCCATATGGTGAAGGTCTTAAATTTTTGTCCAAAGAACATGACTTTTGCCTCTCTAAAATGCTGATAAACGTCTATACTTCTTGACTACCTGGAGTTACCGTCGCTTTTCAGTTTTCAATTCAGATGTCATCTTTCAGGGCATTTACTCTGTAAAGCATTTACTCCTCCAGACTGAATTAGCTACACCTCTTTCCTTGGTGTTCCCTTAAGGTATACTGGTTAAGCACTTAGCTAAGAACAAAAAGGTCAGTGATTTGAACACACCAGTTACTTCTGGTGGTACCCCAGGTGGCATACTGATTAAGTACTGAAAGGTCAGCAGATTGAACCTACCAACAGCTCCAAAGGAGAAAGATAGGGCAGTCTGCTCCCATAAAGATGGTGGTTGTTCTTAACTGCCGTCGAGTCTGTCCTGACTCAAACCCTCTTTAGGGTTTCTGAGGAGCAGCTAGTGAATTTGAGCCACCATCCATGTGGTCCAATGCTTATCCTACAGTGCCACACAAAGACTCCATAAAGCCTGGGATACCCGATGGGGCAGTTCTGTTTTATCCTATAGGGTTGCTATGATTTGAAACTGAACTTCTTAGCAGTAGGTTGTTGTTGATTTTTTCCTTTGTGTTCCCTTAGCACTTTTTACATAACTCTCTTAAACAGTTGTATTGATGGCCACTTGTGATTTGTTTACAGGAATTTATTTTGTGAATTTTAATTAATTAATATGTATTATACATTTTGATTGTATTTTATCATAATACCTAAATTAATCTAAAATGTTGCCTCTATAATAATAATTTCTTGTATGGTAGGCTAAATCAGCTTTGGGGAAATTTAGTAAAATTTACCCAGTTAAAGAGCATCTATTCAGTAAATTAAATAAAATTTATTTCACATATATTTTAATTCTGAGCAATTAAGGAGAGATAAATGTGTGATTTTTCAATGGTCAAAGTGAAGAAAATTGATATTAATAATTTTATATTTTAAAATTATGAAGATACAAAATAAGTGTAGGTGAAAATACCTTTAAAGCACATTGATGGCTTCTGACTTTTTTGTTATATTTCATAAATCTCCAGCCAGAGGAAGTTTACTAGTAAGGATAATTTATTAATATAAATTATCATTTATTATTGTCATTACTACTAATTATTTGCATTCATTATCACTAAACAGTATGTTTGCTTCACCTGTGGCTTGATCTTTCTAGATAGATTGAGAGTGGTACTCTACACTAAATTTTTCTATGTAAGTTATAGGATTGATTATTTTTCTTAAAAAAATTAAAGTATCTTAAATGTCCAACTGCTTTTACTATCTAAAAGGTAGAAGAATGCATTATATGTTAATGTATAATATGTGTAGTAGTAATATATGTAATTATAACCTTATGATTATTTTGTTCTGTTTAGGCATAAAACTCATACTGTGCAACTAAAAACTAATTTTTTGCCACAATCCCAAACTGTACTGACTGCATTCTTAAACAATGTGGTCATATGTTCTAAATCTCATCCAGTCATTTCTTTTTCTTC